TTCGAGGCCGGCCCGGAGGCGCCCGCCAGGTAGACTAGGGCGAGGCCACGCTTCGCGCGCGGGGGAGCCGGCTCCGGGTGGGGCTCGCTGGAGACCAATTTCCTGGGTTCCGCGGGGTGGGGAGCTTGAATTTTCCGGGGTGGGGTGGGGGATGGGGATGGCCTTTCCTTATCCTGGTGAATGAGGGCCCCGAGCCCAGGTGGGGGTAGAGAAGAGGATGGGCATGACAGTGGGCCGGCGTCTCGCTCGCCTCTCAAGTGGGCTAGAACCGGAGGGTCCCTGCGCTCGGTGTTGAGGCTCGTCCCCTGCTCTCCGAGGCGGGAAGCCAGAGCGTAACAGCCGGCGGTGGCCCGGCTCGCCTGGGTGTGGCTCTTGTCCCCCTCCCCCACCTGCTGCAGCTGTCGGGCCGGTATAGACTAAATGAGTACCGGCGGTGTCCGGTGGCGGACTGGACGCCGGTGGGAGAATGGGGTGTGTCCGCGTTCCGGCTGGTCGTGGTTCCGTTTCTGCGGCCAGTGCTGTCGTCTCTGTCCCCGGGGCGGGCAGTCCCCCGGCTCCCCTCGGCTCGGGAGGGGGCGCGCTGCTCCTCCCTCCTGCTCTGGTGGGGGGAATTAATACTCGGCAGTAGGTTGGGCTCCTTGACACAGATCCGCCATGACAAAGAGGGAGAGTCGGGGACTTGTGCGGAGGCACAAGCTTGGGCGGAGTCGGGGGGAGTTAACAGCGCGGACGGAAGGATTTGCGCTTCAAAGTCACGGTCTGCCGGTTTACGGTTCACCCAGCTCTATGTCTTACGTTGGTTAAGGGTTAAATGGGTGCGGCGAGCCCTCTGCAATATAGAGGCGAGGCCGTGGAACACTAGTTATTCTATGAGAAACCGACTCCACTTCCCCCTAGTAACCGAGGGTTTGAGGAGAGAAACCTTTGTACTGGTTTTAGGTAATTTTTCGTTAGAAGCAGCATTAACCTGAGAACGTTTTTGAGTTCCTAGGGGAAAAATTCAGTAATTTCGAGAATCGGGGGGAGGGGGAATATGTAATCACAAATTTTAAATAGTTTTCGAATTGAAATACTACACTTCACATCTAAGCTAGTAGATGACTTGTTTGAATACCAGGGACCTGTTCGGGTTTTTTTTTTTTTTAAGTGTGGGATTTCCCTGGGGAGGTATAGGATATGATATTGGGGAGTCAATTCCCATGGTGAGTGACAGTGGCTTTTCCCTTCACCGTTTAATTGGGCATTTCAGGCTGTACATTTTTCTTTAAAATCGTTTTGGGGTTTTTTTGTGGGATTACTGTGTGGTCTAGATCTTTCTGTGCTGTTTTAGCACCTTTCAAAAAGGCGATCTCTAAGGAGCAGTGTTGTAACAGGAATAAATTGAAAAGTCTAGACAGCTTTAAAATGAAAGAAAAAGGCAGAAAATCATGGTAAGGGCAACTTGAGTGATAGTATGTATCAGTTAATTTTCATTACTAGAAACAGAATGAAGTAATTCTACATTTAAACTGGAACAATGACATCGGAAACACTGGTCACACTGGAATATACATTTTATTGCTCACAGATAGTAAGAGTTGAAGTTCCGGGACTCTACACTTGAAACATGTAATTTACTAACCAATGTCACCCTAGTAAATTTAATTTTTTAAAAAATTGAAGTTCCAGGACACACAGGTACATTCTTTAAGCATTGTGCATGTAACAAGTTACAGATAAATGAGGCCTTAGGGTCAGTTCTATTAGATACTGATCTTTGGTGGTTTTATATTCAAAATATCTTAAGCAATTTGATCATTTCTCTTAGAAAATGGTCATTCTGCTATCAACTGGCAAATATTGCAGAGATCCGTGGATTTGGGGTTGGGGGCTAGTACCAACTTAAAAACTCCTAAAAAGAGTAGGTGTTAAGGAAGTAAAGACACGAATTACACATTAAACTGACATGAAGAATGATTCAGGAAGTGTGATAGAAATGGTAATGTTCTTCGTAAGTAGTGTTTTCACTAAAGAAAAGCTGCTTAATATTTTATTACTTAGTGATATTGGAAACTGGAGTTGAAATTTTGGCCAAGTAAGATAAGGGTTGGTTTTGAAGGTGGCTTCTTGACCAAACTTGCTTTGACCTTATGTGAATTAGGATCTTCTGAATAAAGATAAGGTAATGCAATTTTAATTTTGCTCAACTGATGTTAATGGCTTTAAATTTAACGTTTGAATGCTGAGTGGGCCATTTTTTTCCTTTTCTGATCATCCTTTTGTGAGGCTGCATTAAATTCCTCATGTGGAAAATCTTCCATAGACAATTAGGTTTGAGGTGTTAGTATAGCTTTTTTACAAATAGTATAATTTTGAGTCTGTTTTGATGGAAAAAATATCTAAATGCTCCCCCCCCCCTTTTTTTTCCCTGCAGAACATCCATCCAGTCATGGATAAAAATGAGCTCGTTCAGAAGGCCAAACTGGCCGAGCAGGCTGAGAGATATGATGACATGGCAGCCTGCATGAAGTCTGTAACTGAGCAAGGAGCTGAATTATCCAATGAGGAGAGGAATCTTCTCTCAGTTGCTTATAAAAATGTTGTAGGAGCCCGTAGGTCATCTTGGAGGGTCGTCTCAAGTATTGAGCAAAAGACGGAAGGCGCTGAGAAAAAACAGCAGATGGCTCGAGAATACAGAGAGAAAATTGAGACTGAGCTAAGAGATATCTGCAATGATGTACTGGTGAGACTCAAACATTCAGCCTATCTTCATTAAGATATAGGGTTCCTATAATGAATATCAATCATGTTACTCTCAGTTTTTTCTTTGTTTTTTATTTTCCTTTTAAAAATTCAGTGTTCTAAATTTTGAAGTCTTCAGGGTGTCATTGCTAAAAGATGTTAAAATAATTGTAGTTAAGTTTGTCTAAAATAAATGTAATAATTTCAGTCAGTCTAAATAGGCAAAAAATAAGACTCCGGGAGTGTTTTTTGTACTACTTGAAAAGATTAATAGTATTACCATTTCAATTATGGTTGGAATATTTAGTATTTCTAGAGCTCATTAAAAAAAAATTGGCATACGTGGGTACAGGAACCTTACATATCTTGTTTTTATGTAAGAGAAATAAATGTATAGGAGACTTCATAGATACGGTACCTACCCGTCCTTGGATTAGCCACTATAATGTTAATATAATGAGTCAGCCATGCAGAAAACGCTGGCTTCACAGTTGCTTTTGCCTTTTCCTGCATTTAAGTGTTGACGTCAACTTTGAACACTGACAAGCACAGTAAAAAGTTACAAATAACTCAAGCTTGATTTTCCAGGTTCAGTCAAGAAGTATTTTAAGTATTAAGTATCTACTGTGTTAAAGCACTGCTTCTCTAAAAAGCTTTAAAGAATTGAACAGATCATTTTGGTTATTTATTTATTTTTAAACAAATGATGGCTTTCTGATTCAGAAAAGTTGACATCTGAGTATAAATTGGTAGAAGATCCAACTATTTATCATATAGCATCCTATGTTAATAGGGACCCAGTGTTTGGAATAATATTTAAAGTGATTTTACTAAATGATTACGCTTATAGCAGGATTTTAGGTTACACATTGGGTCTCGGTATGGTAGGGCTCATATATAGAGAGATGCAGTATCCCAATTTATCTGGACAGGCCACTGGATCTGGGATTCAGTATGGAAATTTAGGTGCACAACGTATTTGAATCTTGTTCATGGAAGAACTATAATCAGCAATATAGGCTTTTATTAAAGTTTGATGGTATGATTGCTTTTATGCTAGTTTTTAATTACTAATGGAATAGCTTCATTTCCTAAATTATGAGTATTTTTCTTAAATGATATTTTTTCAGACTGTCTCGTTAAAGAACAATTTTTTTTGAGCATTCAGGATTTATTTATTGTCTTAATTTCCTCACCTCTACCCCATATTTCACCACTTTTTTTTAAATGTGACTAAATTTTAATTTTTCAAATTAGTTTTCAGGTGTACAAAACAACATAATAGTTAGACATTTATACCCCTCACAAAGTGTTACCCCTCCCAATCTACTACCCCTCTGACATCATATATAGCTGTTAGAATACCGTTGACTTTATTCCCTATGCTGTACTTTACATCCCGTGTTATATATATAGTGTGTGTGTATGTATGTATATTTAATTATAGTTGACATTGAATATTTTTCTACTTCAGCTTCAGGTGTATAGTGCAGTGGTCAGGTATCTACACAGTCTATGAAGTGATCCCCCTGATAAGTCCAGTACCCATCTGGCACCCTACATAATCTTTACAACATTATTGATTATATTCCCTATACTGTATTTCATATCCACGCGACTATGTTTTTATCTTCATTTAACATGGGCTCACAAAGTCTTCCTGTGGTATCTGTGTTGAATGCATTTTTAATAATTTTATTTGAAATCTTGACATTGATAGCTGTTATTTCTAAGATGTGAAAGGAATACCAGGATTTATTGAGGTTAAATGACAATGCTTACTTTGTGATTTGCTTCTGTTATTGCGAAGGTAATAAAAATTTTAAATTCAAAAATAGCCATGTTTTTCTACAATAAGAAATGTGTTGGGCTTTTTCCCCTTCTTTGATCTCTTACTAACTAGTATCTGTGTACCTGTTATTGAGTTTTGTTCGCTCTGGTATTTCCCCTCAGTTATTGCACCTGATAGACAAATAATTTTTATTTTGGTTTCAAGACGTTACAAGTTATAATTTCCCTTAAGACAAAAGTCAACTTTAGGAATTAAGGGGGATGTGGTAACGTTTACCCTCTACTAACCAGTTTATTTGTGATTCCAGGTAGGTATTTGCATGTTTCCACACTGAAAGCATAAAAACTCCTGTTGGTATGAAGATTTTTCCCAGGAAAAGACTGTAGCAGTTTTAACTTTGTTTCCCCTATCAAGAAAAACCTATTGCATAGGATCAGTGGATGAGAATAACTATACATTCATATCTAAATAGCTTCTCTTTGTAATGATTATTAAGAGGGTTTGAATACTGGTCACCCACATTCTTCACAGCTGCACTGGCTTCTTACCAGGTGTAACTGAAATTTCCACTTTGAAAGTTTAATTCCTTTACCATACAAAAGACTCAGAATTTTAAACAAGCGTTTTCTTCCAGTCTTGGTCTTTTCAAGAGTAAAACTCGATTAGTGATCTTTGCATGGCTCCTGCCTCCTAACATATAGTAGATACTCAAGTATTTGTTAAATAAATGAGCAAAAGGGCTTCTTTTGGAAAAGAGGATAATAGAACTAGGTCATCAGCACTGCTAATTTTCCAGGGCCGTTTCTGTTTCAACTTGGGAAAATTTGATATTTACTGATACTGTGGTTCTTTACAAGCAGGCTTCTTGTCCCTATCATCTTTTCAAACAGGTTATGTTGACTCTGGAAACACCTTGCATAAAATTCCTTCCCCCCTTTCTAGTAAAATGGAAGAGTAAAATATAGCAGAACAGATACATATTTCTCCTAGAGAAATAGAGAAACATCTTTGAACTTGGTTAGTGAAAGAACTTCAATTATATTTTAAGATCTCACTCATTTCTTCTGAATTTGATTTTTTTTTTTGAGGAAAACAAGGTAATCCTCTTTTCAAATTAATATTATTGGCTGGTGACATGCATCAGTGATGAACTAGACTTCATTGTACTGTTGAGCACCTGGCTAAGAAAAGATCCTCTTCTCTTGAAAAAGACCTAATCTACAGAGTTCTAAGTTTTTCTGAAAAGCTCTTTATTCTGTTATCAAATGATTACTACCATCCTGGTTATGTGCATTATCAACTGTTTAATTTATACCATTTACTAAGCAGAGAAATAGTAGGGGGACCATGTTACTTTGTACAAGAGTTATAGAGTACTGTGGGAAGTGGTTACTGGCATTTTCTTCACAACATGGACTTTTCTTTATACAAAAGGACTTGGGGTACTTTGCATTGTTCATTTGAAATTGCATTATGTGAACTAATGCAGTCTGTCTTTCCTGCCAGACCATAGACCAGAAAGCTCTCGGTAGTAGGAGAGGCGTTTAACACTAGTGATCCCTGACAACACATCTGTGTAAACTCACAAGAAGCCAAAAATTGGGTAGTTGTGTCTTGAACATGATGAAATGAAAAGCAAAATGAGGAAATACATACTAGAAAAAACCTAAATCAAATTCAAATAATTTAGTGGTTCAGAAAGCTCCAGGTTTTGAGTCAGACCAACTTTTTACTATTTAATAGCTGCTTGGCCTGAAGAAATTAATCCTCTGAGAAAACTGAGCTCAATTAAATGGGAATAATATCCACCCCATAAGTATTAAGTATTCTACCTAGTGAGGTATTTTGTATAGTTTGGAAGTCTGAGGTATATGAAGTGGAAATGAAAGAAAATAAAGGAATGAGAATGGAAAGTTAGGTGTTTGCTATTGGAGGGAAGTGGAAGAATAACTACCAACTTGATCAAAGAGCAACAGGTTACCTATCCTTTTTTCAGTATAACAATACGTGAACAGGTAGGAAGAGTCCTAGTAAGAGATACAGATGACCTGGAGATGTTTGGTGATTCTATGAGCTGTTAAGAAGATAGTTAAAAGCGAAAAGGAAAAAGGATTCAGAAAAAAGAGGAAAAGATGAAAAGATTTGAAATTGGAATTAAAGGGAAAATTTGAGTAAAGTCTCAAAAATATAGGAGGAACATGGAAAACTTATGAAATAATGACCGAGCTCTCTCAATCTAACCAAGAAAGAGGAAGAAATTGTATTCAGTCCTAGCAGAGGAACCTCCTATTAGGAAGGGTGAATATAAGCTATCTTAGAGTTGTAAAAGCTTATTAAGAATAATTTTGTTTTTTGTTTTTTAGAACACCCAGTTTTATCAGTAAAGAAATCCTACTGGCAACACCTTAATAGTGGGCCTGCAGGACATTTGGTCCATGCCGAAAGGTCCGTGATATGTGGTCCTATCAAAAATGTTCATGCTTAGAAAATGTCTCTGACATTTAGTCAGAATTTTGGTTTATAGGACTAATACCGAAAAATACTATCATGTTTTATTGGTATAATAGTTGTGTTGTGGCTGTACTGCCAATAAAAACCTTTATTTACCTCGTTAGCCTAGGTGGTTGGTAATGGCACATGGGGTTAGGTAGATGGGTCCAAGTGGATCAAGTATCTCCATGGATGTTTGAACAGGACCAAATAAATGTCCCCTAATCCAGTAGTGGTAGAGTGGAAGCATCCTAGTTAGTTGGTTAATTGGAAAGTAGTTCAAATATATGATTATACTTGTCTTAAAGATTTATTTTAAATTAAAACAGATGTGTATGTTTGCTGCAAACATTTCTAAAGACCTTTTCTTTGAATACGTGTAGAACCACAGTTTGGAAATAATTTGCTAACCACCCCTATAAGTGCATCTTTTATAAAATGCAGTTTGAGTTTTCATAGTAGAGAGAAATAATCAGTTCAGAATCCTAGAAATATGTAGTATATTCTAATCTTTTAGTTTGTCTTTTTTTTGTGTGTGTGACTCTCCTTTAAAAACTAATTGTTCCAAAGCATTCAGCTTAGTTTTCATACTTGTACTTGACAACATTTAAGTAACAGCATTTTAACTAAATATAGCACGTATAATGGTATAGTTTTGGAAACAAATATCAGACTCTTAATAAGGATGTAACTGCTGATAGAAGCTGAAGGGGATTACA